CAATGTGCATACAAGTCACCTGTGGCTTGTGTTAAAATGTGGATTCTGATTTCACATGTCTGGAGTGGGCATTTCTAGCAAGCTTGTGATTCTGAAGCTGCTGGTCTACCTAAAGCTGGACACTTTGTGTAGAGAGGGTCAACACATTTCTTTATATTGATATTTGAATGTGACAGTTAAATTGTCAGCTGATAAAGGTGTTGCCACGAGTGACTTAATTTTCCAAATACCTTCAAATCAATTCAGGTCAGGTTTTGCTGCCAAGTGAGTTATGAACAATCTGTTTGTGATTGTTGAATGAACAAGAATTGTTTGTGAACAGCTCTTAGCAAAGTTCCAAAGAACAATTTTCCCTCAATGTACACTAGTTACATTCTCCAAAAATGCAGTCTATATGAAAAGTATGCAAACAATATTATGAACTTATACGTAAAACAGAGTTGGTTCTAGGCTCAGATACTCAGCAGAGTGTTTTACTTACATGAGTGTCCAATAAGGCCTTTGGAGGTTGTGTGGGATCAGGGACAATTTTTCAGTTGTACAAGACCATTCCATGAATAACAGATCTCCAGCATCGCTGGCCTCCACTCACTAAATGCCCGTAAGTGCCCCCCAGTCACTGTGTTGGTCAAAAATACACCCCATTTCCAAAATGTTCCAGTGGGACAGTATAACCTCTGCTGATTGCTACTGCTTAAGTGAAACAGGAAAATTACTTCTAGTATTTAATTAAAGCAGAATCCAACATAAGCCCAGACACTGTAGAAATATTCATTCTTTCCTCCAACTGTATAGAAAGGCTCCCATGCTGAAACGCTTGTTCTAACACTTGTTTCTTAAATTCTTCCACAATATGATTTATGCATCTTCCGCAATTATTTGCTGATGTTTGGTTGCCATATTTTTTTCCTCACATTATTTTAATTATTTTTACTTGAAGAAAAACTTGAGGAAGGATACCTGTGTCTACCAAAATATTTTATTAAGACTTAACTCCCTTTTTATTTTTAAAAATAAAAATAAATAAAAATGTAATATTTTCTCCCTACTCTGCAGGGAATTGTAAGAGTAGTTATTTCCTCTGAGTTGTACAGTTTAATATTTGCTCTTAGAGTAAATCAATTCTATTTCAATAAAAGTTTTTAAAAATTAAATTATAAATATACTTATATTTAGCCAAAAACAATTTGCTCTTAGAAATTCTGATTTACAGGCACTAAACAGAAATAAATCCTAATCAGAGTGTGTCTTACATTATACTTTTGGTTGGTCACTATAAAATGATTTCTACAGACTTGAACCCTATGAAAATATATTGATTAATATATAACACATACAGGAACTTCCCTGGTGGTCCGGTGGTTAAGAATCCACCTTCCAGTGCAGGGGACACGGGTTCGATCCCTGGTCAGGGAGCTAAGATCCCACATGTGGGATTGAGGGGGACAACTAAGCCCGTGGGTTCTAGACCCTGTGCACCACAACTAGAGAGAAGCCCACACGCTGCTAGGAAAGATCTTGCGTGCCACAGCCAAGACCCAACGCAGCCAAATAAATAAATATTTAAACATACATATATATATATATATATATATATATATGACATACACAAACTAAGGAATCTTTTCTCATAACTTTATTTACAAATCCAGAACTTAACAAATCTGTTAGGCTAGCACTTATGAAAGATTGACTTTTTTTTGTTTTTTTAATATTTATTTATTTATTTTGGCTGCTTCGGGTCTTAGTTTGCGGCATGCGGGATCTTCATTGCAGCATGTGGGATCTTTTTTTTGCGGACTTCTTAGTTGCAGCATGCAGACTCTTAGTTGCGGCATGCATGCAGGATCTAATTCCCTGACCATGGATCGAACCCAGGCCACCTGCATTGGGAGTGCGGAGTGTCACCCACTGGACGACCAGGGAAGTCCCAAGAAAGATCGACTTTTGTAATGAATATTGAAACACAGTTGAGGTTCAATAGCTGTAAATGAGGAATATGTTACTTTCTTTTTTATCCCTTTTGGGTATTGTTTTCACGCAATTTAGCTAACTGTAGACCAATTACCGTGTATGAATAGTAAGCAATGTAATTTTATAGTTTTACACAAATTACATGTGTATCACCAAAATTTTGTATATACACATTGAAGACAAAATGAACGAGTTAAAATCTGTTCAAAGAAATAGAGGAATAGAAAGGCTAAATCTTGAGTTTTCTAAATTGAGAAATCATACACTTGTAGGAAGTAGATGAGCCAAAAGGAGGGGATGAGGAAAAAAGAAGACAAAGATTTAAAACGTGACAATTGTTTTAGGAATAAAGCATATAGATGGCGTAGGGTTTTCCTGTCACAGATGATGGAACTGTGGCCCACAGGCAAGAAAGAATGGCGACATCTCTGCAGTTCTCGTTCTGGTAAAAGGATGTCGCCATTCTGCCTTGCTTGTGGGCCACAGCTCCGTCAGCTGTGACAGGAAAACAAACTTTCACAATTTCTTTGCAATAAAAGAAATCTGCTATTCAGGATTTAATTTTGACCCACAGGAACTGGTTGGTAACATAGGAATGAGGAAAATCTTGACAGAAAATGTCTAGTGTCTATTTTTTTTTCAATTTTTTAAATTATGAAATACATGTAACATCAAATTTACCATCTTAACTATTTTTAAGTGTACAGTTCAGTGGCAATAAACACATTCATGTGGTTGTGCAACCACCACCCCCATCCATACAAATAACTCTTTTCATCTTGCAAACCTGAAAATCTACACCTATTAAACAATAACTCTCCTTTCTTTCCTTCCCCCAGCCTCTGGCAACCACCATGTCATTTTCTGACTTTATGATTTTTGACTGCTCTACGTACTTTATATAAGTGGAATCACACAGCATTTTGTCTTTTTGTGTTTGGCTTATTTCACTTAGCCTAATGTTCTTTAGGTTCATCCATATTGTAGCATATTGCAGAATTCCCTTCCTATTTAAGACGGAATAATATTCCACTATATGTATATACCACATTTTGCTTATCCATTCATCAGTCAATGGACCCTTGGATTGCTCCACATTTTGGCTATTGTGAATAATGCTGCTATGAACATGGCTGTACAAATATCTCTTTGAGACCCTTTTCCAATTCTCTTGGGTATATACTCAGAAGTAGAATTTCTAGATCATATGATAATTCTGTTTTTAATTTTTTGAGGAAATCGTAATGTTTTCCACAGTGGCTATACTATTTTACATTCCCACCAGCAGTGCACAGGGTTTCAGTCTCTCCACATCCTCACCAACACTTGTTATTTTCTGTTTTTTCGAAAGTAGCCATCCTAATGGTTGTGGGTTGCTATCTGGTTGTAGTTTTGTTTTGCATTTTCCTAATGATTAGTGATGTTGAGCATCTTTCCATGTGCTTATTGGCCATTTGCGTATCTTCTTTGGAGAAATGTTTGTTGAAGTTCTTTGTTTATGTTTGAATTGGATTTGTTGATTTTGTTGTTGTTGTTGTTGTGGAGTTTTAGAAGTCCTCTCTATAGTCTGGATATTATTCCCTGATCAAATATATAATTTGCAAATAATTTCTCCCATTCTGTGTGTTGCCTTTTTACTCTGTGGATAGTGTCTTTCAATGCATAATTTTTTTTTAATCTTCAGGAAGTCCAATTTGTCTACTTTTTCATTTGTTACCTGCGCCTTTAGTGTTATATCTAAGAAATCATTGCCAAATCCTATATTATGAAGATTTTGTCTTATTTATTCTCCCAAGAGTTTTTTTTTTAATATTCTATACTTTAATTTATTTTTTATTTATTTAGTTATTTTTGGCTGCATTGGGTCTTCATTGCTACACGCGAGCTTTCTCTAGTTGCGGCGAGTGGGGGCTACTCTTCATTGCAGTGTGCAGGCCTCTCACTGCGGTGGCCTCTCTTGTTGCAGAACACGGGCCCTAGGCACACAGGCTTCAGTAGTTGTGGCACGTGGGCTCAGTAATTGTGGCTCGCAGGCTCTAGAGTGCAGGCTCAGTATTTGTGGTGCACGGGCTTACTTGCTCCGCGGCATGTGGGACCTTCCTGGACCAGGGCTCGAACCCGTGTCCCCTGCATTGGCAGGTGGATTCTTAACCACGGCGCCACCAGGGGAGCCCTCCCAAGAGTTTCATTGTTTTAGGTCTTAAATTAGGTCCTTGATCCGCTTTGAATTCATTTTTGTTTATGATGTTACTTAAGGGTCCAACTTCATTCTTCAGCATGTGGATATCCAGTTGTCCCAGCACCATTTTTTGAAGAGATTGTCCTTTTCCCCACTAAATGATCTTGGCATCCTTTTCAAAAATCATTTGACCATATACGTAAGGGTTTATTTCTGGACTCTCCATTCTATTCCATTGGTGCATATGTCTATCTGTGTGCCAGTACCACGCTTGATTTTGGTTATTGTAGCTCTTAATGGTAAGCTTTGAAATCAGGAAGTGTGAGTCCTCCAGTTTTGTTCTCTTTCAGTATTGTTTTGGCTATTTAGGGTCCCTTGAGATTCTATATGAATTTTAGGATTGGTTCTTCTATTTCTGGAAAAAAATCATTACTGGGATTTTTTTTTTT